CGCGCGGAGGACGGCGACCCTCCTTCAAGCGGGCGCCCCCGGGGGGGCTGGACTTCGACGCCAGCCACCCGGACAGCCGGGAGGGCGATGGTGGGAGTAGGACCCCTCTGGGAGGGCGCCGGGTTGGAGAAGGCGGGGATGGAAAGTCTGCAAGGACGGGCAAGGTCTGCCCGGGGGCTGACCCGGTCTCTGACCTAGTCCGTTTCCCAGTTTACCCAGCAGGCTGAGTTTATGAACGAACCCCACAGGCCAGGTTCCCACGCCAGGCTGAGCAAGGTCCCACCATCAGCTTCGCGGGTGGGAATGGGGTCGCTCAGTTTCTAACTGGCCTTTTTAAGTCTGTTGCGCAAACGCAGCCAGGGCGGTCCTGGGGCGAAGGGGCCGGACGGGGCCGGGACACCCAGGCGCTAGTCCCCTCGCAGCCACGAAGCTCCCAGGATGGCTTGGCCCGCCCTGCCCCACAGGGCCGTCGTTGTGGGCGAATGGGAGGAGGGGGCCTTGGATCCAGGGCCTTCAACTCCAGAAGGACCTCGTGTCGGGGGCATCCAGCACCCCCAGGCCCCCGGCTTGCCCTGGGATTTGGGGAATGTGGGCCCTCTGCTTCTGGAGGCCAGCTAGCTGGGAATGGCTCCCGGGCTGCTTTCGCAGAGGCAAGCAGTTGGCTTGGCCTTGGCCCGGGCGCCTAAACACAACACAAGAAATCAATTGCCTGCAAATTGCATAATTTCCTCAAGGGGTTTCTAAAAATTGCAGCAATTACTTTTGCTGCTGTTGTTGTAATTGTTGTTCACTGTAGGGTTCTTGTCGCTGGGCTGTTTCAGTCTGAGTAACCAGTAATAAGGTTTGCTGCGGGTTGAGGTTTTCTCTTGCAACCCGTAGGAAAGCCGGGTTCCCACAACAGGCTAAGCTGTGGCTTGTTAAGCATGATTTATTAACTAAACCCAGTTACTTCGGTTGGCACAACACTAACCATAAACAAACAAATCACATTTTAGTTTAGCGTGTCATCTGAACCTGCCCAGAGTCAGAGAGGAACTGTATTCAAAGCAGAGGAGAGGGCAGAAACAATGTGTGTGTGTGTGTGTGTGTGTGGTAGACGGGGTGGCTTCCCCCATGAAATGGGGAGGACAGTGGGAACCCCATGGAGGAGCTGAAATAAGGCACGCACCAGATGGATAGGTCAACTCAAGATACTTCATCCATCCATTCATTCATGGAGTTATAGGCACTCCAATCTCAAAACCAATTCTAGCTGCTTCAGCTGGGAAATCTGAAAGGAAAGGCGTCTTCTTCGTCTTGCGCTTTCCCACTAATTAGATCTGTTAATAGTCCGGCTATTAGTCATGTTGGACAATGGCGCTTGGAGGCGCGGAGGCTGCCTGCTTCCGGCTGGCAACGGGGAATTACAAAAGACCGTGAACTGTTTGTGAGGATCCAGAGGCACCGGTGCCTGGTCTTGGGAAGTGGAAGAGGAATTAGAGAGGAGGCGGAGGGGGCCTTGCTGGGGAGCGCTGGAGTTTAGAGCAACAAATGACGCTCTCTAGAAGTCCCTAAGCTAACCAAACCAGTTTAACTGGACCATCCTCGCAGACGGTCTTAGAGATATGCTTTTCATGGCGGTGTGCTCTCTTCCCCCCAGAGCTGTGGAGGATGACGTCTGAATCGCCTGACAGAGGTAAGCAGCTCTCCGGATCCGCTCTCCTTTTCCCCAGGACCATCTCCTTCCCCACTGGAAAACCTGGGGGTTAGCAGATCTGAGCCACTGAGAGCTCTGCGTAGGATTACCGGAGCGTCAGGCACCAGCGAGGGTCCCTGGCTTCCTTAACTGGTCGTCGGGAGCACACTCTGAAACTTTTTCCCTAAAGTTTCTCCATCCGCACCCACAGCAGTGTCCCCACCGGACAAGCCCTGAGCTTTAGCTTTAATCTTTCTCTCCCTCTTCTGGTCATTCCACATGGCTCCTTTCCTTTCTGTAGCATGGCACGATCCGTCCCTTCCTTGCCATCTTTGGTCAAGATGCCAGTTCCCCTGAAAGATCGTCTGCCTTTCTGCTTCCTTCTCGTTGGCGTTCTGTTGCTCCTCCATTTGCTCACTTCTGCCAAAAATGCTGCTGTGAAATTGCTTCCCATTGGATCTCACTCAGCATTTGCACAGTTACACCAGCTTTCAGGTCTGTGCAAAACTCCTTGCTCTTGTCTAGAAAACCTGCCGTATACATTCTCTGCCTTTATTTCCCATTAAGAGTATACCCCGGACTTTCACTCCTCTCCTTCGCCCTTCGGTAGCTCCAGGTCTTTCGCTCCCTTGGAGTGGGAGCCTCGGGGGTGGTGGGTGGGGGCGGGTTTGCAACATGTCCTTACTGCCAAGTAGACAGATAGCGAGCACCCTACCTGCTGTGTTTGCAACATGAGTACAAGCCCCGCACTGGAGAACTCCAAGAGGGCACTGCTTTCCCTGCTGTAATGCCTGCCCTCTGGAACAGCGTGCCCCAGAAGTGTGTGTGGCCCTCACCCTGACGATGTTCAGAAAGTCACTGAAAGCTCAGTTGCTCCCCCAGGCCTTGGGGGGCATGGTGGTTGAGCCCCCGTAGGGTGGCTTGTTGTGAGACAGAATTTGTCTTTGGGACACTTACAATCTTCCCTTTCTGATAATTGTCATTTTTTCCCATAAGCTGTCCAAAGTCATTAGGAGTCGGGCAATCTCCGCACTGTATTAAATAAATAAAATTAAACTCTGGGGGAAAGAAAAGGTGCCAAAGCACATTTGGGCCATTTACAATCCACCAGTTGCCATCATGGTTATTTTGTTTAGTCCAGGTTTCTGTCTGCCGACATATATGGCTTCAAACCATCATCCCTGTACTCTTGTGCGTTTGCTTGTTTAAAAGAACAATCAGTCTTTTTGTGCCCATCGATCAGCTCGGGGAGATTGGGTGCCTCTCCCATCTTTAGTTATAAAGTTCAGGGTACAATATTATGAAAACACCTGCTCAGTTTCAAAATCTACCTAGTCAATTTCTTGGTGCCTAAAAATAACCTCTGTGGCTTGATTTATCTTTGTGATGTATGTTGAATTTCCTTTTTGAAACTGCATTCTCTTATTAAAACCAAGAGAAGCCTAGCTTTATTGCATGCAGGGCACCTCGCTCTTCTCCCCTAGTGCAACACACCTTTGTCTGAAGAGCTGTGCACGCTTCAGAGATTATTCAGAACAAGCATTTGGGACTTTGCATGAACACAGCACCTCTCTGCTCTTCCCTTCAGCAGCCCAACTGAAAAAGGATGCAGCTGCTTTAAAAGTCTTGTTCGCTTTAAAGAGCGGCTTTCTTCCGCTTTTGGCCTTGTGGAAAAAACCTGAAAAAATAGGGCTGCTTTCATGACAGGGAGATGGGTGCTGCCCAGAGTTCAAATCAACTTCTTCCATAGGATTTTCAAAGCAGCAACAGCCCTAAAAGTGATCTGTTGTGGCCCGTTTTCACATCATTTCTCCTTGCTCCCCTTCTGCCTTGACTGCCTTTAATCCTTCCCGTTGTGGAATGTCAGCGTTATAAGCAAGCCTTGCTGAGCCCCATGGGGCTGACCTCTGGAGAGGCGTAGGTGGGATCGGACTGCTAAGACTGTAGTGGCTTTTGGGCAGAAGGCTACTGTTTTGACGATTCAGACTCTCCATAAGGCAACCGCTCTCTTCCGGGCTCCCCGTTCATTGAATCGCGCGGCTGCTGAGCCCCTTTTAAATCCCCCTGTAATGGCTGATTCTTCCTTTTTTCTAGGTAAAGGCCTTTATTACTGAGGACCTGCCTCTGTAGTATCCTTTGCAGACCCTGCAGAAGGGAGAGATTTCACACAGGCTCCTGCTCCTGCTGGGTTCACCTGCTACTGGGACTCGGCCTCCCTTCCCCAAATGGGGCTGCGCTGTCCGTCAAGCAGAGGCTCTTCCTGCGTATCTATCTGGAGCCTTCTGCACACCTTCGTGTGTGATGGGATGCTTTGCAAAACTCCAGCCACTGGCTGGGACCTGGGAAGTTGTAGACTGAATATGTTGGGAGGCAGGTCCAGGAAAGGCTGTGCTGAAAAAACAGAAGCCACTGAGTTCCTGAATTCCAGCACATGTGTCCACACAGGGAAGCAAAGGATGACATGCGTATGAATGTGCCCTTATGCGCTTGAGGGCCTCCGCGTCTCAAGCAAATCATGGCATTTGCACAGCATGCCACCGATCCCAGCGGGTGTTTCTTGGAACCATCCGGTGAAACAGCTTGGCAGGTTCAGGTAGACAAAAGGAGATGCTCTTTTACCTGGCACAGAGTTAATGGGTGTGGATGGCCACTAGCTTGGGCAGCCTGAAAGCAGGTCAGAGGCATTGCCTAAGAGTGCCGGTTCTGAAGAGCCCCAGACTCTGGCCTTTGCAGCTGCATTCACACCATGCTCCCTTGGTTCACTTGTGAGCCTGAATTCCTCTTGCGTCCTGTACTAGCTTAGTTTGAACCTTGGATAAGCTTTTTCGTGTGTTGCCGTGCAAACACAGTCTTGGTGTTTTTTAGGGGCCACTGATTATGGGGAACCAAAGGGATCCTTGGAGATGAAAAGGGTTGATCTCGTGAGGCAGGAAGCTGAACTACAGCCCCCAGCATCCTTCAACATTTACCATGCTGGCCAAGGTTTTGGGACTTGAGTTCATCAAGACCTAGAGGACTATAAGGGCCCCTTCCTGATTCTAGAGAATTTTCTTGCTAGTTGGAGCCACAGACCTTATTGGAACCTGGGACAGAAGTCTTAGACTTTGCCTTGGTGGTGATAATTACATGACATCCAATCGGTGTCAACCCTTAGCACATAGACCTTCTCCAGGACGATCTGTCCTAACTTGGTCTTTCAGGCCTCCCAGTGGTGCACCCATCACCACTGTAACTAAGTCCATCCTCCTCGCCTCTGGGCATCCTCTTCTGTTTCAAGACTTTGCCTTGGTGGGTCAATCATTTGCAAGAACGTCACCGCTGGAGGGAGGGAGTCCTTGAATAAGCTTCCTAACTCTGCCCTGGAAAATTAAATAGGAGAGGTTGGCATCAGCCCAGCTATGGGGGCCACCCCTAAAAAAGAGAAAGGCTCTGGGGCTGGAAGGGGGCATGGCCAGTGGTGGGGCCGAACTACTTTCTGAGCTATCCAAATGGGAAATGTCAGCCTGATGGGCCAAACAAGGCCGAGGTGGGTGCTTTAAAGCACCAGTTTGCTCTTCAGATCCCTCCAGACATCAGAAAGGGAGCTGAAGGCTGCTGGGCAGGGGGCTTAACCAGTACCCCTCTCTGAGGTAGTGCAGAGAGCAGCAGCTGAGGTGGGGAAGACGGGGCCCTCTCTTCCAGCAGCAGATCCGGCTCCTTAACGCACCGTCTTAGCCACAACTTGGCCATGAAGCACCTGCCTGGATCGGACCCTGAACTCGTACTGCTCAACCATAAATATGAAGAGCTCCAGGTGAGAGGGAATTATTTTATATCTTTTATATTTATTGCCAGCCACTTTAGTCATGAGACTTTGAACAGTCTTTATCAGTCAGATTTTTACTCGGCAAGACGTGCCACGCAGCTCTCAGTGGTGCATGTAGTTTCTGTTAACTAAGCTCATGGGTGCTGCAATGAAGCGTGGTGGTGTAGTTCCATAGTGCCACTTGGGCCTTTCTACAGGGGCCTCTGTAGCTTTACCCTTCCCTCCTAATTGCCTGGGCCATCTCCGCTCTTTGCCTTGTCCCCCCGCTTCCCCCGGGGTGGCACTTGTAGACACAGGTGCCTATTTTGCTTTCTTTCCCTAGTATTCTGTACTTGGACAGTTTGGGGAAATTTCCCCAACGCCATCCAAACCTTCCTCTTCATGGTGGGCATCATCCTTTCCAGTACGCAAAGATTGTTCAGGTTTAGGGACTTTGCCCTTACGGTACAGCGTTGTGTGTGGAGGGATCAGATCTGAACTGACTAAGATGGTGTGGGTAGATTAAAGCGTTAGACCATTTGTATCATGGACACTTAACTTTGTGCACGTAAGAGAAAGCGTGGTTTCAGTCTGGATAGGGAGGGAAGACCACCACTGCTTTTGCACAGGAAGTTCCCAATCAACAGCGCAAGAGCTTCACAAGGGGTGATAATTAACAGAGCAAGGGAGCCTATAGCTTGCTTCTGTCGCAATCCCCAGGGCTCCCCAAACCCCTTCAGTTCCATCGAGAAATAAAGATGGCACGATTTCCACCCATTTTGCGTACCAACAATGCACACCCATAGAAAGTGCAGTGAAAATGACCCCGAAGGACTCTCCAGCGTAGCCCGAGGCATAGCAGAAAATAAAAGCTGCTGAAGTTGTACCTGAAGGCTGTTATTCAGTTGCTCGGGTGTTCAGTAGGGAACAGAGCACCATGGGCTGAATATGCCACGACTACATTGATGTGCCAAGTCCAACAGCCCAGTTTTGTTTGATTTCAGCTGCAAAGCTGTTGAATGCTTTGGCAGTAAGCTTGGAAACAAGGTCTGAGTGAAACAGCTGTTACAGAGCGGGGGGGGGGCTCAATAGCCTATAAAACAATTGTGAAATAAATGACCCCCCCCAAATCCTTATTTTTCCCTCTAGAGGAAGAAGCAGCCGCCGCTGCCACTTTCTCTAGATACCTCCTCTGCTGCTCCCTTTTTAAAAAAAATCTTTAATTGAAAAAAAATAAATAAATCAGGAAGCGGCCTTGCAGCAAATCACAGCGCCATGCCAGGGCCAAAAAGCCCTGCTGGGGTAGGAGGGGGCATTCTGGTGGGACAGTCCTTCTTCTGAGTGGGCAGCCATTTTGTGAAGGTGCCCGCCAGATACTCTTGAAGCGCCAAGATGCTACAGCCTCAAAGTGGCCTTTTTCCCCAGAATCCACTTCCAAATATGCAGAAATAGGTAATGCTTCGGCACGTGCAGAAGCAGGATAAAATGCTTCTCGTCCGAGTGTCGTCTGGAGCTAATCCAGCTGTCTTGCCGCCGTTTGTGGCCGGAGGATACCAGTCCGAATGATTTGCTTTTAATTTGCAGAGAATCCCATTGAGTGACATGAGCCGGGTTGAGATAAACAAGCTGGTGCAAGAATTGGGATTCTACCGGAAAGAGAAACCAGATTCCCCTGTTCCCGAGGAGTTCCACTTGGCGCCCGCCAAGTCTCTGCCAGCGGGGGCGGAAGAAGCCAAGAGCGAACGTGCAACGGAGAGAAAGGGGGCAGGGGGTCCAGATCTATAGAATTTGGCACGCTCTGCTGGCGTTCGAGAGGGGCGCATGTTGGAAAGAATGGGAAGCCCGAGGGCGCTTGAAATATCCATCTATAGAGATGACCTGCAGCTACATAGAGAAGATCTGTTGTGGCTCATGCAAGGTTGAATTGTGCCACAAGAGGGATTAATATTCAAGGAAGACACAAGGGCTGCAGACTTTCGCTCGAGGGAGAGAACTTGCTACCGGCAGACAGAGAAGGTACAAAATAAAGGCAGCCGTACATGCAACCCCAGGCCTATCCATGCAGAGAGAACACGGAAGAAATGGACCGGAAGAAGCCTCAAGTCCACACAGCTGTGATTCTGCCCTTCATTCCAAGAACGGCTGGCACGGCTGGCACTTTCCCCTGCAGCCGCGCCTTAGCTGAGTGGGACAGGATGAAGCCCTCCGCAGAAAGCTGTTGCTGCCGAGGGTGGATAGACACGTCCTACCGGGCTGGGAGCGCAGCACGTCGGGGAGCAGGTCGCCGAACCCGAATCCGTTTCGGTTAGTTACAATAAAGCTGCCTTCGTCCAGCAAATGGAGAGTGTGAGTCACTGTTTGCAGACTTGACAGCTGAGAGTCCTTGCTGAATTTTACTGCTTGATCGGGAGTACCACAGGGAGGGTGTGTTTGTGTGCGTTACACCCACGTTTGGTATCCCTTTTTTCTTCCACAGAAGCTGGTTAGAAGTTAGAGCTGGGGGGCGGCAACGTTAAAACTGAGCAGGCTTGCAGGAATTAACTTGAGATAGTGCCCTCCTAGTTTGGTTGGCATAGCATAGGCTGAGTTGCCGGGGGATCTATAGAAGCATGTTCAGTAAGCATGATGTTCTGTATTCTCATTTTACATTTCTAGCCTTTTAAAACACTTTCATTGGGTGGAAAGAGAGAAGCTAAAGGTGACCAAACTACCATTAGTGCTGATAAAAATAAGCCCCAATCGTGTTGAAAGTTAGCCTATCTTTTAATTGATGCTATATTTCTTTCTTGTTCAATGAAGTTATCGGGGGGTTAGCATTTTAGGGTGCGGGGGCATCTCCATGTTGGAGGACACAAGTTGGCAACCTGGGCCATACCCGGCACTGAGCAACATCCCAATTGATGCATTATAGTAAGCCACAGATGACCCATATGGTGGTTTAGTGTTTGGCGAATTAAGTGGCCAAGTCCTGCTTTACGTTGTGATGATGCAACGAAGGGAGTGGAGGACTCCAGAAGGACCTGGAAGGCCTGAGGTTAATGAGAACGTCCTAAACGTGCCTGCCAGATAAGACACAACAGGCTGGATGTTCTGGGAGTTGCATCTGGAGGAACCAGGCCGGACCTTGCATGATCTAGCTGGGGTGAGCACAAGGCCACGGAGAGGAGTGCCCAAGTGTGAACTGTGGGCCTTGCCTAGAAACCATGCCCGATTCCCAACCTTCCTCCTGCCTGCGAGTGAGTGCACAGATGGATTGTTGCTGGGAATGAAGAGATCTCCTGCTCCTCCCATGGACTGCAATCCCCATCTTCCCCAACCAGGAGCATGTCCACATCATGTATTCATTAGCTCTGCTCCCCACAGAGGATAGGGGTTGCAGAAAACGAGGACAGCAGGTTTCGGGAAGCAAATTCAAGCATTTTAACAAGGGCCAGTTTATTATCGACCACTTAAGGTTGCAGGTAGCGGTGCCAGAGGGAAGCATGGCATTTTTGTCACTGTTTCACACAAGGCTGCCTGTGGTGAGGAACCTTTTTGGGTATCAACGGCTCTCACCCCCTTCCGACAATATGTTGTGCAACAGGCTGAAGCGGCCTGCAGGACCGTTCAGAGAGCCCCAGGCGTGCCCTTCTGGTGGCGATCTGGGGACAGGGCATCAGCCCGTTGGCAGAGCTGAACCCAAAGAGCGGAGGGAGGCGTGTTGGAGAGAAGAAGGCAGAAACCAGAGGCAGGAACAGCTATCCAAACGTTTATTGTCTCGCTGGTGCTGATACACTCTTGTGCTGGTGTGAGAAGGGGTACAATCCCAGAGGGAGGGCAGAGGGGCACAATCCACTGTCCTGTGTCCACCCCCCTCCCCCAAAGCCGGCCTGCCCATTATGCGTCCCTTGAGGAAGCAGGGGCAGAGCAGCCCACGGTGGACGCTGGAAGGACAGAGCAGCCCAGCGGGAACCCACGGAGGGGGCTGCTGCGCAGAGGATGCTTGGGAGTCAGACTCCCTGTCTCAGTCCTCCTCGGTCGGGGAGTTGGCCGACGCTCTGCTGGGCTGGCGGGCACACGCAACCCCTCAGCAGCCTGATGGAACCGAGCAGCATCTTGGGTAACGTCTGTTGGTGGGAAACGCCAGTGGAAAGAGCCTCCCTGAGCCAGTGCAGAGCGCCTCCCGTCCCGTGGCAGGGCTGTGTCTTTAAGAAATGTCCCCCTTTCAGCCTTTTCTTGTGAGCCAAGAGAGTCCGCCATCTCCGCACGAGCCCCCGAGGCTCCATTCCTCAAGACCGAAGCAAGCTCTTTGGGGACGGGGGGGGGCGTCAGGAGCACCACCGCCCCGCCTCCTTCCCACATTCCACATTCACAGCCAGAGGCAAGCTTTCTCTGTGACAAAAGGCGTGCAAAAGGTTTTGAGCATACAAGAAACACACTGCTATCAGTTATAGGTTTGGACCACAAAGGCCGAAGGGAGGACGGGACTAACGCAGGACGACGCCCCGCCGCCCCAAGCGAGCCCTACGCGCGGCCTCCAGCGTGGCCTTCCTTCAGCGGGGGTGGTGGGGTCCCCAGGAAAAGGGGAGAGGGGAAAAGCCTCTGTGGAAATCCAACTGGAACCCTCCACAGCTCCAGAGAGGGCAGGGAAAAGGCCTTCCCAGAAATGCGGGACAGCTACTGCCCGCCAGTGCTCGGGTTCACACAACACATTAAGCCTAAGCTAATATACACAGGTTGCAAGCAACACCCAAACAAATCATATTCTGGTTTAACAGGATGGCTTGGGTCCCTCAGCCTGCTAAGATTAGGCTGGACTGCAAAAGGTGGTGGCAGCAAAGGGGCAGAGTTTGGCACCTCATGGGCACCGTCGGGTGGCTGTCTGGATCTTGGCAGCAAAACTCTGGCGGTGGTTCTTGCCTGGGTAATAGCAGGAGAGCCCCAGACCCCCAACCCACATCCTCCAGCATGGTGCCTAAACCCGCCAGTGTCAAACAATGCCAGGCTGGACAAAGATTTTCTTTGGAAGAGGGAGACGGGGAGAAGAACGACCCCAACCCTAATTAAGGAGCTGCTGCTGCTGCTGCTGCTTTCTGTGATTCCTGGCTTTCTTCGTAATTCGAGACGGCGTGAAACCGCAGCGGCTACGCCAGCCACGTGCCAAGCCAGATCTCCAGGTGGCACTGAGCAACAGGGGCACAACTCGGGGGGGGGGGGGGGACGACAAATTTCATTCCAACTGGGTTTAATTAAACGCAGTAAATAGGATAACTCCCACCTCTTCTCGCTCCTGCCGCATCAAGCATTGTGATTTGCTGCCCCTCTGGATTAAAGGGCGATTAAAGGCACGAGGCTGCAGGGAAAGAAATCTCAGGAGCGCCCGCCATCGGGCGGCTGCACCGGGGCCTCTGTGAAAGCTACAACAGGCTTTTTTAAAAACACGGAATAACTTACAGGCAACACGCAAGACCACCTTGGCATAAAAGCACGCGTGGCGCAGAATGGCAGCCCAGCCTTCCGTCCCTTTCCGGGGCGGGGCAGCCTCGCCGGGCTGCGCGGGCTCCTTGACCTGCCAACTGCCAGCCTGCTGCAAGTGGGGGGGGAGCTGCCCCCCACAGAAGAGGTTCTCCGTAGGCAAGAGAGGGGGCGGGTGCAGGGACTGGGGGGGAAGCCGCCGCCCTCCTCTGCTGCCCCCTCGGCGTCTGGAGGCGGGGCTCTCCCCAAAGAGGCAGGCCCCGGGCGGGGGGAGGCTAGAAGCGTGACTGCCGTAGCTGGAGCTCGTGACGCCGCAGGTGGTTGTAGAGGGACTGCACGTAGGTGAAGACACACTTGGCATCGGGGCGCTTCCCCATGATCATCATGTCCTC